TTTGGCTTCTTATACTTCCTTTGCTACAATTTTTAGGTGTGGATGGAGAATCTAATAAGTATCCTTCATATGCCTTTCTCACCCACTATGTGAACACTTCAAGTTCTTCTTATCAATCCCTTTTTCACCCTCAGAATTATTGGAAACAAGTGCAGATTGCTCACTAGATTGAAGTGGAACATCGATTCCCATTTCTTTCCTCCTCGTCTCCTCATTCCTAATCAAGTAGAATACATTATGCAAACCTAGAAGTTCATCTCTCCCCAAATTTGAGCTTTAATGCTTTTATGTGAGTGGTCCAAACTACCTAGAAACTTGAATATTCTTCCTTCTTCAATTTGTTTGTCATGCCTTTCTTTATCATTGGTGCTATCCCACTCAAGGATTAAATGGGATCATGCTCTTCCCATAAGCCTTCTAATGTAGCAAAATAAGTTGCTACAGTCATGTCCCTTTGAGTCAAACTAAAGATGTCTTGATTCAACCTATAAATCCTTGCTATATTTTTCTTTTGACCATAAGTGTTGTACAGTTTCTCCCAAATCTTGTGGGCTATTGTGTAATGCTGAACAGTCCTCGCAATTTTGGGAGTCATAGAAGTCATCAACCATGACATCACAGTTGCATTTTCCCTACACCAAGTCTTAAAACTTGGTTCATCTTCCTTGGGCTCCTTAATCTTTCCATCAATGTAGCCTTGTAGTCCATGACTCACAATAGACCATCTTGCCAAAATGGCTCATTCCCTATAGTTGTATTCATCTAGATTCACATTAATAATTTGTACCATAGGATTTCCAAGGTGAATAACATTGTCAACAGTCCTAGAACCTCTAGAGGATACCTCACTAGTGTTGGAAGACACAATATGGAGTCACTCAAAGTAATATCCCATAGCAAGTAGTCGACTGCTACTTTTAGTAGTCAACTATTAGACGAAGAGATTTCTTAGTAATTGACTACTGCATGAAGATATTTCTTAATAGTTGACTACTACTTCAACAGAACTCAGAACAACAAGAGAAAAGAAAACGACACTCCCCTTTTTCAAGCTTCCCAAACAAGCTTGGCTAGATTGTGAACTAGACTCCTAGTGGCTAGACTTGTTAAATGGGTCTTTCTAGTAGTCCGTATGGCTGCATAGTTTCTTGCCCTACCTAGGCATACTAGCAACTATTTTGGGTCTCCTTGGAGTTTTTCCAAGACAAACCCCCCCAAAACCTTCATCTACCCCCCGCCCCTCGTTAGTAAGGAATGGGGTAACTTAAAATAAGGAAGCCCAAGCCCATTTACACTTAATAACAGAAGTGTAGCCCAATGAGAAATAGGAAAACATAACAAAAATGGGTTAAGGCCCACACTGTCAAGTCCCACAACACACTCCATCTCCATCAACACTTTTGAATCATAGATCAATAATGCCACAAACCTTCATCCAGTTTCTCCCTCAATTAGTTGTATGGGATACAAATTCTTGTAGCTCCTTTCTAGGACTATATTCTATATTATCTCCACCCAATAGACCCGTAACAAACCACCACAAAGCTAAATGATGAATCAATATACAATATGTAGAAGAAGGGTAATCATTCAATAAAAAACAAGAGAACCACTAGATAAGTCTTTTCATGCTACCATGGATGAATTAATGGCATTGCATTCAATAGTGCTAAGAAAATCATTGTGTACAAAACATAAATCTATAAAAGAACATAGTGGATTAATGTAATCGAAGAAGTCAAGGATCAAATGCAAGGCAAATGATATAAGGAAAATTCATTAGATGGAGATTATTGAAGAACTAAGATGTTTAATATGGAAATTTTGATATTTGAAAATATCATATCATGTGATGACTAGAATGGTGTTTGGTTCTGTGGCTGTTTATTTGAAAAATGATGATAGTTCATCACCATGTAAGCATTTATTCCAAAACGCTGTTTGGTAAGACTGTTTATTAAATAAACTTTCTCTCATTTTGTGTAAGAGCTAACTATGGGTAAACACCATTTTTTATGTTTCCCCCAACACCCAGCCGTTTACTTATTATTTACTTATTACTTTTTTTTTTATCAATAACACTTTCATTAATTCATCAATAAAAGATTTACAAAAGGAAGACAAGCACGCTTATCTTCCAAGAGCAACAAAGAATCTCAAGAAAAGGAAAAAAAGAAAGAGAAAAGAAAGAAAACACACTAAAGTTACAGCTTGGCCCAAAAAAGAGAATCCCTTTCTGCCCCTTGTTTAGCTAAACCGTCAACTAGGGAATTAGCCGATCTTTTAACCCACATATCTTAACCTCCATCTCCCGCACCAGCCACTTGAATTTCCTCCTCTCATTATTGTATTTCCATAAACCATTGTGATCTTTAAGCAGCCACCCTATCACCACCTCTGAATCCCCTTCAATTAAGAGTTTCCAGATGTTCAACTCCTTAGCTTTTTGGACTCCTTCCATAACTGCAAAGATCTCAGCTCTAAGGGAGTCACCAACTCCAATTGGGCCTGGGAGCATGACAGAAATGACCCCATTTTCATCCTTAAAAATACCCCCAATCCCCGATTGTCCCAGATTTCCCCTGCTACACCCATCAAAGTTTAATTTCACGAATCCACTAGGTGGAGGGGTCCAAGCCACACTCATTACTGACTTAGTTTGTGTGCAACTTGCAATTTCACCCCACTTCCTCAACATGTCATCCACAGTGTAATCTGTGAAAAGCTCCAAAGATTTCAACCACTGTACCGCCCTAATATGAAAGATAGCCCTCAGATCCGCTGCTCCTCTCTGAGCTTCTGAGAATATCCTGGARTTTCTTTCTTCCCAAAGTGTCCAACATACTGCAGCCCTTAGTCCTCTCCACATTGTCCTTCCCCTTTTTATCCGTCACCTGAAAAAAGAAGGGGAAAAAAAGCCTTGCAAGTCTGATGGGGGGTTCCAACAACAACCAAATAGGGACAAATCCCATTCCCAAATTGACCTCGCAAAATGGCAAGACACCAGTAGGTGAAAACCAATCTCCCCATCCGCTTTACAAAGAATACACCACTAAGGTGACAAACAAGTATTGGGTCTCTTCTCCTAGGGGTTTTTCCCCTTTTCTTCTTTCTTATCTCTCTTGGTTCTTCTTGTCTTTTCTTCTCCATTTTCTTATGTCTCTCTTTTGATGAACAGGGGAGGTACATAATTGGACCAGTGTTTGGCTTGTAACATGGTGAACAGTTAAGTAAGGACGGAATGAGGTGAACTCTAACATGTTAAGCTAATGAACTCCATTTCTAATGACATGTACTGAAAATTGATACCACGTTCTTTAATTTACTCAAACAAGACTGACCACTCCACTGACTCAATTCTCCTACTAACAACTCAAAATCATGGACTGATCAACTATGAATTTGGATTTGCTCCTCACAAAATTGGTCATCACTCCCATCTTACAACTCTTGTAGTCATGCATTGGAAACACCTCTCCATGAATAAAAGTATACAAGTACAGAAATGTTCCTGATGTGCGGCTACAAAATCTATAAGGTGGGTGTGCAGACAAACTTCGTGAGGAGAAAATCCAAACTCATCAACTACACCACTTACTAATTCAAACAAGTCAGAACATGGACTGACCTTGCTAATCATGACATGGCTTTCCCATTTTTTCCTCCACCCCTCCCCTTCATGTCTATCTCTTCGTCATCTTTTATCATCTTTCTTTTTTTTTTTTTTTCTTAGCCCTTTAAAGGTACCAAGGTGCCAAGATCATTGGGTATCTAAAGATTGCTATAGTTTGTATCAACTCAATATTTCGAATGCATGTTCAAGGCTATTGAATCATAGAGAAAAACATTGATTTCCTGATCCAATTGTGATGAAAGTTTGCTTAAGGGCAATGTTTCAAACACATCAACAATAGTAGGCTAATGACATCACAAGCGCCTCTATCCATTTTCCTCTAGCCGTCGTTGGGATAGTACATTACTCCGTTGTCCTCGGGCTGTTATATAATCGTCTGAAAACAACGATCTACACTGTAACTTCACCCTCAACTTTGACTGATCAGCGCCATTTGTACCAATTTACTTTCAACCGTACCTCTTTCTCTCTCTGCCATTCATGTTTAAAAATAAGTGCTTAAAAACAAATGATTATTCGAATATGCATTTATTTGTTTTTGACATCAATTTTTTTAAGTGATTATTTTATATCAATTCTAATAAATACTTATGACTATTTTATCCTTCATTTTTTTTTTTAATTTTCTAAATATACCCTTTATTTGATGTGCTCTCTCTCTCTCTCTCTTAAAAGTTCTATATCCCTATTGTTTCCCTCTTTTTTTGAGTTTAAATAAGAATCCCTCAAAGCCCCAAATTTCTCTGGATTATCAGGCAAGGGATGTGTAACCCCAAATTTCTTGGAATAGATCCTCTCAATTCCTTACACGGGCTTTGACAGGAGATAATAATTGCAGAAAAGAAATAATGGTCAGTTCATGGTTTTAAGGTTTCATGACAGGAAAAAAAGAGCAACAAGACGAAGCTTACATTTAGCGATTTTGACGAAGGAGCGAGGGTCTAATGGGTGCTGCGGGTTTCTGGTCGTTCATGGAGAGCAAATTTCAGGGCTGAAGGAGAGAGGACGGCGTGTTTCTGGTCGATGGTCTAACGAGTGTTGCGGGTTAACTCAAGAAAGCTCTTGGTGATCAGTTCCCTGAAAGCGAGAGAAGCTTTGAATCTGATTGTTCATGGGGAGCGAATTTCATGGATGAAGGAGAGAGAGGACGACTGGTTTCTGGTTGACGGTCCAATGGATTCTCTGGGCTCCAAACTCGAGAAAGATCTTGGTGATCAGTTCCCTAAAGGCGAGACGTACTTCGGATTTGAGAATTTTGGCAACACTTGTTATTGTAAGGGAACAGCGTTTTGCAGGTTCCTGCCATGTTAATCTATTATTTGTTTGGTTGCACTTATCTGGTTTGCCTTGTAGCTTTCATCTTTGTTAAATTTATGAATTACGAGGTAAAATCTCGTTTCATCATGTGACTCGTCGTGGTGTTATTTATTGATTTATGCAACTTACCTCAAGCAACGGGTCTGGTCATGACTCATGGGCAGGGCTGTCAATTGGACGGTTTTGGGTTGGATCCAAACCGATCCTAAATCTTATCAAGTCCGTTTTGGACAATCCATTATAGTTATTGGGTTGGGCCAACCCAAAATAAAATCGCCCGTACAAAAAACTCTACCGATTGGAATCAAAACCAGACACTCAAGAAACCTTCGGTGGTCGTCTCTTGTCTGAACTCTGAAGCAACTAAAATCAAAACCAGACAGGCTGACACTCAAGAAACCTTCGG